CTCCCCTCCCTTTCCCTCCCCTTCTCTCCTTTCCTCTCTTCTCCCTTCCCCTTCCCTTCTCTCTTATCTCTCTTCTCACCCCACCTCTCCCTTCACCTTCCCTTCCCTCCCCTCTTCTCTCCCTCCTCTTCCCTCCCCTCCCCTCCTCTCCTGTCTTCTCTCCTCTCTCTCTTTTTCTTTCTCTCTACCTCCCCTCCCTTCTCCTCTTCTCTCCCTGACTTCCAGTCATACACTAAATTCCTTAGCCACCTGCTTCTCCTTCTTTTGAGGTCCTTTCTACTTTTCCCCCCCCCCTGCTTGGTTACCCTTTACCTGTCTCAGAGATAGCCCCAAAGACTCTCTGTCCAATAAGCCCCAGACTTGGAGGTGACTGTCACTGCTCTAGCTTGCCAGGAATTCTGCTCAAAGGACTATGTGTAACCAAGGAGGAGGGCAGCCTGATAAGGGAAACAAGTCCCCACCCCAGGAGATGTGATGGGATGCAGGTGTTGGGGCAGAGATCTCAGGGAAACAGCCAGGATTGGAGGAGCGATACAGGATGCCTTGCAGAGGCGTGGTGCTGGAGAAATGGCCAGGTGGAACAGAAGAGCTGAAGGTGGGGGAGGAAAGGCCAGGCCCAGTAAAATGTGTTTATACAGTTAGGAGAATTTATGGGATTTGCGGAGGCTTAGAGGTTGAGCCAGGGTGTGGTGGGTGAGGGTCAGCCATGGATAGTCTCCCCAGGTTGTGTGTTCCTTGCCTTGCAACTGCTAGAGTAGGGAAGGCATTCCAAACCTGCATGGGGCTTGTGGGGAAACTGAGGCTGTGACCATCAGGAGTACTGGGATGACAGGACAGACTTAAGGACTCCCCTGGGAAGCCTCAGGCTGCTACAACACAGAGAGTGATTGGTGGCCTAGCTAACTGTGAATGTGAACTTTAGGGTTAGAATGGAGACCTCTTCACAGAGGGGGAGGGCAGGTCTGCTCCCTCTCTCCGAGGAGGAGGAGGAGTTAGAAGAGGGAGAACTTCCCTGAGGTGGGGATCAGAGGAAGAGGTCCTGTTCTAGGAGTGGATCTCCGGAAGTGCCGGAATCTCTGTTTAGCTGGAAGAAATGAGGTTCTGCGGTGACGAAGGGTGACCCACGCCAGCGTCACGAAGCAGGGATTTCCCAGCTGTAAAGCCTCCGTCCTCTATTGCAGGCTCCGCGGGAGGCGAGAGCAGAATGAGAGTGTTAGTCAGAAGTCCAAGCGGTTTAGGGCCGTCAGCTCCGGCTCTGAAGGCAGCCGAGCCACATGTCTGATTCTCTGAATGGATCCTGGGGCTTTCCTCAGAGCCAGAACCGGTCTGATACTCATACATATTTATTTTTTCAGTATGAAAACTTAATTGGCATTTCGCTTCTCTATCCTCATCTTGGCTTTAGGTTAATGTTTCACGTGGGTCAAGTAAAGAATATCGAGGAGAGGTGTACTAACAAACAGTGAGTTGGACAAATGGACAGTTTGCTTACACAACAGTTTAATTTATGCATCTTGATCTAATTAAAGCACAGAAAAATAGTGCTATGTACATTTTCATTGCTCATTATGAAATGAAAGGAAAATATTGGAAACATACCCAGGTTGCTTCTCTATGCTATTGCCTAATACAGAGTTCAGCAGGTAACAGACACCAGTAAAACCTGGACGCTGCCTCCAAACATTTTCAGTTTCAAGGGAATGATATAGTTTCTTTTTGACTATCATTTTAGAGAACTATTTAAAAAAAACACATAAAAAAATCCAGGGGCCGTGGGGAAGGCTCAGCATGAAGAGTATTTGCTGCTTTTGCCGAGGATTTGAGCTTGGCTCCTATCACCCACGTGGTGGCTAACCGTATGTGAATGTCGGCTCCAGGGATCAGATGCCCCCTTCTGTTTTTTGACAGTACTGCACCCCTGTGCCCATACTTAGATGCACCCATTCACATATACTGTGAAAAAGAAAAGAAGAGAACAAACAACAAAACCCAAACCTTAAGGAAGTCCATATGCAATACAAAATTATAGGAAAGAGACCCTACAATACAGAAATCAGTGTTTGTGATGGGAGAGTTCATAACACATGTTTGAAGATGCATTTTCTTTCCTTCTATTTCACAATTAAAACATGCCTTTGACTCTCCATCCCTCCCCACAAACCCCTACGGCAGGTGGGTGTGCTGGCCCCAAGGGTGTGAGAGCCTGAGAGTAGCCCTTGACCCTTGCTGCTTTTGGCACTTGGGTGAGTTAACTGGGCAGTGCTGGAGAGCTGACCTGGTGCTGTGGGCGAGGGAGAGCTGGCACGCGACCAGCTCAGCTATCACCAGATCCAGGGCTTTGAGTTGGCCCACTGCAACGCCTGCCCCATCTGTGAGCTGCTGGGGTGCATGAAGGAACTTGTCCTGTTGATCCGAAGTTGCAGGATCTCCATGATCCTGGGCAACAACAGGATATCCAAGAGGAGTCCCAGTGAAGATCTGGTATTGATAGCATAGCAGAAGCCAGAGGCCTCAAACCAGACCAAGGACTCATTGTAACAAACATTTGCAGGTAAAGATGTTTGGACAAAAGAGTACACTGTGTGACACATTGTGACACTCTGCAGCTTCTACAGGGGGATGTTTTTATTTTTCTTTTTAAAGACTTTTATTTATTTATTTATTTATTTATTTAGTTATTTATTATGTATACAATGTTCTGTCTGCATGTGCACCTGCATGCCAGAGGAGGGCACCAGGTCTCATTCTAGATGGTTGTGAACCACCATGTGGTTACTGGGAATTGAACTCAGGTCCTCTGGAAGAGCAGCCAGTGCTCTTAACCTCTGAGCCTCTCTCCAGCCCTCTTTTTGTTTTCTTTTGGGGGAGAGATTGCAAGGGTGGAGGGTGGAAATGAAGGGATAGGGAGATGAGTGGGATTGGGGTTCATGACGGGGAAATTCACAAAGAAAAACAACCCATGCATTTGAAGCCACTGGTCAGTCCTCAGAACAATCCATGGACTTGTACTAATAAGAAACTCTGTAGTGTTTAGTTTAAACTTGATCTAACAAGTTAGTCACTTAAATGCTTAAACAAAGCCACAGGGAGTGCATCTTCTAATTTTTGACTTTGCATAAAGTTATACCTGCTTTGTTTTTGGTATTTAAAACTTTACAAGAGCGGAAACAAGCCAAATGCATAAAGCAGCATGTACATTTAGAATTTTCAGTGGTGCTTGCATTTTAAAAAGAAACAGCTTCCTTACAACTGCCTCAAGTTCTGATGGAATGCTTACAGGAACTGGGAACAAAGAGCAGGAGAAGCAAGCGCAGAATACTGATTTCCTTCAGAAGCAAATGCTTTCTTTGAAGACTAATAAAGGTGGACAAGCTCCATTCAAGTGAAGTGGGATGTTTCAAATACTTGAGACTTCACATAAAACTTTTTGAAAGACAAATTTATTTATTTAAAAAGAGCTAAGCGGACTGTGGAGGTGGCTCAGTGGTTAAAGCACTTGCTGCCCACGGGTAGGGATTCAAGTCCAGATCTCCAGAACTCCCGTAGATGCTGGGTAGGTGTGGCCATCCACTTGTGATACCAGCCTTGGCAAGCCGAGAAACAGGGCACCCACAGAACAAGCTGCCTAGTGAGACTAAACGTGTTAGTGAGCTTTGGGTGTGGTCATGAAAGTCCCCTCAATTAAAAGGCTGTAAGAGCCATCGAGGATAATTCCTGACATCAGCCTTGGGGTTCCACATGCACACACATCTATGTACAGCCGCATGTAGCTGTGCCCCCCAATACAAAAAATGGGAAAGAGTCTCTGAGAGCAGTGCAGTCCTGGGCACACAGCAATGCAGAGCAAGAAAACGCCCAGAACAAAAACAAGAGTTTATTTTAACAGCCTCTAAATTCACTCTCAGTCAATAGTCCAGTAGTGCCTCCTCAATATTTCCTTCATTTATTGGCCAAAGATGCTTTTTATTTGGGGGGGCGGGCATCTTGCCAGGGAGAGTCATGGGTAAAGACAGGGCTTCCTGTTTATGAGTAGCAGAGGTAACAAAAGAGAGACAAAGAGAGGCAAAGAGCTTGCATGTTCTTCCGGCCAGGCCATGCAAGCACTCACTGTTCTTTAATTCACATGATAGGCCTAACAGTTAGAAGTCATTGACACCATTTTTACAGCTGAAGGGATATGCCCGAGAGGTTGAGTCGAAGCAGTGAAGCTGCACAGACTACCAGCAGAGAGTGCTGGGCTAACCTGCCTCTAAAACCCACGTCCTAGCCAGGCTGGGCGCACACACTTATAATCCAACACTGGGGGAGGTAGAGGCAGAGGAATCTCCCTGAGCTTCAGGGTGGCCTGGTCTACATAGTGAATTCCAGAACAGTCAGGACTGCATGGAGGGACCCTGTCTCCAAAAATCAAACCAAACAAACAAAATTAAAAAAAGAATGAAAAGACCATTTGTGTGTGTGTGTGTGTGTGTGTGTGTGTGTGTGTGCGCGCGCGCGCGCGCGCATTGGTGTGCATTTTGATGTGTATACATGTGGAGGTCAGAGGTCCATGTCTGGTGTTTTTCGGACAGGGCCTCTCAATGAACCTGGAGCTCATTGATTTGGTTAGATTGGCAAGCCAGCAAGTCTCTGGTGCCCTCCTGTCTCTGCCTTTACAAAGTGGGGATTCAGACATGCGCCTCCAGCTTTTTACCTGGGTTCTGAGGGTCTGAGCTCTCAGGTCTCTCAGGTCTCCATGCTTGCATGGCAAGCACTTTTTGAAATGAGCTGTCGCCCTAACCTTCTGTTGTATGGACCTGGATGCTGGGTCTTTCTCCAGACTGTCATCTCTCAGCCACAGTCTTGCCCTCTGGACCAGAGGCCTTTTATCACTCACACGTATAAGCGATCTCCCGAGTGTTTATTACTAGCCTAATCCTTGCAGCTATAGAGTCAATAAATGCCATCCTTCTTGGGTAACTCTCCCTCTGACTTTTTTTTTTTTTTAAATTGACAGAAGAGTAAAAGGCTACGACGTGGCTGTTTGGATCAAGGAAAGCTTTGAAAAACCGGAGAGGGAAAGGAAGAAAGTACCATCATTTGTAAGTCCCTCCCAGCTGTCTCACTTAATCTTATCTAAATACACACGAGCAATAAGCCAGCCCTGTGCAGGGCAGTGTCTTAACCCCATTTTGTTGTAAAGCAACCAAGCTTCTGGTTCTTTCCCTTTTGTCTTTTGGTGTGTATGTGTGCCTGAATGCATGTATGTATGTCAGCCTATGGAGGTCAGAAATAAACTTCGGATGTATTCCTCAAGCTCTGTCCTCTACGTCTCTCACTGGCGTATGGAGCTTGCTGAGTAGGCTGGGCTGGCTGGCCAGTGAGCTGCAGGGATCCACCTGCCTCTACTTCCCCAGTGCTGGGGTCACAATGCATACCACCATGCATGGCTTTTTATGTGGGTCTGCGGATTGAATTCCTCATACTTATAAGACAAGCACTTTACCAACTGAGCCATCTTTCCGCTCCCACCTTCTGGGATGGCCCTGAAGTTAGGCGAGAGATGAGATGGACTTGTGTGCTCAGTTCTGAAGCCTCACTCTCTCTCCAGTGCCTTCCTGACCTTCCAAAGCAGGAAGTTGAAGAATTGAAGAATGGGTAGGTGTGGGGTGGCAAGAGCAGGAAGGAGGCCTGAAGCAGGGGTGTGTGAGTTGCACGAGGTACAGTCTTTCTGCTTTCATAGGTGTCAGAGGAGTTGAGAGGTGCTTATGAAGAACTTGATGACAAGGTAGATCTGAACCATCTGTTCATTTATACTCTCAACAGATATTTTTAAAGCACCCAGGGTGATGTGCCAGACAGAAAAGTGAGCAAAGAAAGAGATAATCACAGTGAAAAAAAGATAAGGTCCCTGCTCTCAGGGAGTTGCCCTTGAGGATAGAGGGACAACAAACAGGTAATAAATAGATGCCCAATATGACCTCCATGATGTTGAAAGATATGTGGAGGCACAGTGGACCACAAAGAGTTTATTTGAGCCAATAGTTTTTCATGAATTGGGCAGCTCCAAACTAGAAGTGGTTTGAGGTACTTCTTCAGGCAGTGTAAAAGGTGGGCTTTCCTAGACATGGAAATCATAAATAGCATGCTTGACTGGTTCCAGCTATGAAGTTGCCCTCTTTTGTTTATTCCTTTGGGGGAGTCCTTAGTTATATGATTGTGTTTGTCAATTGCTTCATTTGATGTTTGTCTTCCTGTATTCTGGGATTTTCCAAGAGATATCTCCAAGTTGCATATTGCTGTTTTCCAGTCAGGGAGGTTAAGCTTACTTGTGAGACTCACCTGACTTTGCACCTCAGGCCCGCTCTATGTTTGAATTGACTTCACTAGTGATGAAACTACAGAACAAAGCAGGGAGAGGCACTTCACAGTGGCCCAGGAAGGAAAGGAGCCAAAGCCGTTTGAGTATTACCGCAGGCAGGATGGTGCTGTGGGCAGTGTTGCGGGCAGGTGCTCTCCCACTGGCTGGACTGAAGGTAGAGAGAGGCACGCTGACCTGCCACAAGTGGATCCAATCTGCTTGGGTGTGTGTGTTGGGAGGCAGGTTGCCTCAGCCTGAGCTCTGCAAGTGATCAAACTCTCACTGCAGGAGCTAAGCAAAGGGGACCCACTAACTCACAGAGAGAAATGTGCAGCTGGGTGGTGCAGGTTGCGTTCATCCAGGTACAGGAACACGTGACTTCTGCCTTCTCTCTTGCCATCCCTGTAGGCTGCTCTATTGTATCTAAATGAATTAAAGAATTTATTTAATAATTTAAAAAATCAAAATTGTTTATCTTTGTGGTGTATGACAGGATACTTGAAATACATATAATGTGCAAAAGCTGAATTGAACTAATAGAAACAGGTCATACGTGACATTTTATGATAAAAACATTTAGAATTTATTTCCAGAGGTTTTAAAGAATACAGTATATTCTTCTAAGCCATGGTGTACTTTTAATTGGTATATACTTTTGTAAAAATTTTTCTTTCAGTGTGTGTGTGTGTGTGTAGTCCTGGCTGTCCTGGAAATCACTCTGTAGACCAGGCTGGCCTCAAACTCGAAGCTTTGCCTGCCTTTGCCTTCTGAGTGCTGGGATTAAAAGTGTGCACCTCCACTGCTGGTGTCTTTCAGGGTATTTTCATACATGTATACAATGTAATTTGATTATATTCACCCTTTCTCCACCACCCATTTGTCCCTCCTCCTGCCTCCTACCTTTCCTGAGATGGTCCACTTTATACTTGAAATCTAGATTCTAGGAAAGGAAACATGTTATGTTTATCTGACCTGGCTTATTTTGTTTAACATGGCGATCTCCACTTATATCCACTTTCCTGTGAACGGCTCAGTTTCATTCTGCTGCACGATGAAATTACATTCCACTCTGTGTAGCTCATTGCATTTTCTTCCCCCCGTTCATCCACTGATGGAGGTACACGCTGGTTGGGTATCTTTCCTGTTGTGGGTGGAGCCATGGTAGTCGTGGTTACACAGGTATTCGTATTGTGCAGTAGGTATATGGTAGATTCCCTGTATCTATTTTTGGGTGTTTGAGTAAACTCCATACTGATTTTCGCAACGGCTTTACTACTTCACACACCCTTCGAAGTGTAGAGAGGTTCCTTCTTTCTTATTTTTGTTTTCTTGATGATAGCCATTCTAGCTCAGGTGAGGTAGGTTTGACTTGGGTGAAGCGTAGTTTTGATTTGCATATCATTTTGGGATAAGACATTGAACATTCTTTTATTTACTTACTGGCTATTTCTACTTTTGAAAACTACCTGTTAGCTTAATATGTCTATTTACTAGAAGGAGAATTTATATGGTTGGCATTTAAGTTTTGAGTTCTTTATATATTTTGGATATTAGTCCCCTGTAAATAGACTTTCTTCCATTATGTAGGCTTTTTCTTCACTCCGTCAGTTGTTTTCTATTCTATGCAATCCTCTTAATTTCATGTAATCCCATTTGTCAGTTATTGAAATTATTTCCTGAGCTACTGAAGGATTTTTCAGAAATTCATTGCCTCTGCCTATATCTTGAAGTAGTTTCAAAGCTTCAGAACCAATGCTGAAGTCTTTGGTCAATTTGGCGCTGATTTTTATAGTGGGTGAGTGTCCTAGATAGTTTTAACTGTCAGCTTGACTCAGACTAGTGTCCTTGGATACGGAGTCTCGGTTGAGGGATTACCTATATCAGATGAGTCTGTGGCACTATTCCCCAGGCAAGTAGTCCTGTGCTGTATAAGAAAGCTCTGTAACCACGAGCCTGTGAACAATCAGCAGGCAGCATTGCCTTATCGTTTCTGCTTTAAGTTCTTGTTTGAGTTCTTATGCTGACTTATCTCTGTCACAGACAGTGACCTTAAAGTATAAGCCAAATAAACCCTTTCCTCCCTAAGTGGCTTTTGGTCAGAGTGTTTTATCACAGCAACAGAAGGAAAACTAGAACAGCCAGAGATACAGATCTGGCTTCATCTGCTTGTGGATATCCGTTTTCCCTAGTGGCACTGTTACAGAGGCCATCTTTTCTCTAACATATGTTTTTAGCATCTTTGTTAGGAAGCATATGGCTATAGATGTCTGGGCTTATTTCTGCCTCTTTTCTTTCCTTCTTTCTTTCTTTCTTTCTTTCTTTCTTTCTTTCTTTCTTTCTTTC